ATCGTTTTCAAAGAATAGACTTGCATGAATATATTCTTAAAGTCAGGATACTCCACATCGCTGTGTATACGTAAGGATTCCTTTTAATCACTTCAATATAAAAAATAACCTGTCGTAAACTGGTTTTAGAAAAAGTAAATCCAAATGTGACTACAAATACTCGCTACTCTAGGGACTGTGATGGTGAAATTAAATTGTTAAATCTTCCCCTTTAAATGTTTATCAAATACCCTGTTTAATAATAAGTTTAGATATTAAATAAAAACTTAGTCTCGGTACGGAAACGATATCTAGATCATGGCGAATAAATTTTAGGTAGTCAGTAGGTTATTTGATTTTATAACCACTAATTAACTTACAAAAAAGTTCCACTAAAAAGGTGAAACTTCAATAAATAAGGCGGATCGATGAAACGATCTCGATTTCGAGGTCGGATATGAGAGTCAATATACGCAGTACTCATCACCGAACACTGAAGAACGAATAAATCGCATTGATAATAAAATTTAAAAGTACAATTAATATCCTACCTACCGGTTAATAACAATAAACAACAAAAATATTTAATTAAAACAATTTTAGAAAAAGTCCCACTTAAATACTTTAACATTTCGTCAACCTAATTTAATGCATTAGGGACCAAGATAAGCGACGTGACGCGACACTGAATATTTGCTTAGATAAAAAATACATGAAAAGTAGTGTAGGACCTAGTGTGGCACTATTGTCTGTTCGTTTCATCACAACCTATCAACTTTACTATCACTTTTATTATTAAAAACATATAAAATAACTATAGTTAGGTAAGTTAAGCTATTCTTCGATAAAGGGGAGATATAAATATGGACACAAAAATATTTTTTACATTTATTGATTACAATTATAAGAGCCGTGGTAACTTTGGCAATTAGAGCACAACTAAAATTCAATTCAATTCGGTCCCTGCCACTTATGAAATGGCTATGTGCGATTTAAGTGCTGATTTACCATGTGGTCGAAAATGAGTCGTAGAAATATAAAATTTAATTTTCGAGGATAGGTGTAATACAACACGCAACGGAAAGCGGGAGGATCATTCTTGCTTCAAAAACCACTACAAAAATAAGAGGAGACTTGCGTTCAAAGTGAGATTTGTATCAGTCGCATTCCGTCCCCCGTACTGATACGACACCCCGCGTACTTTCAGTGTATAGTCGCGTTCTGAATTGTATTGTTATTGTTGTTAATTTTTACTGTCGTTTTTGTTTAGTTTGAGTTTGTTAATTTGATTTTTATTAATCTCTCAAACGGCAAGCGTCCAAATTTGACCGCTTCGATATTCCGTCAAAATTCAAGAGGTCAAATGTGACCGCACCCACTCACAGCACTTTAACCCATAAATACTTATATTTAGAGACTACTTTTCTATGAAGAAGTTTGGCATTATGGAATCAATATGAAATTTTCTATCCTTTAGTGGAATAAAAAGTCAGTTAGTCTATGGATATTTATTTATAATCTACGTTCATTTCATACGCCATTTTCGTGTGAATGTTATTGTGTTGATTTTTGGATTTTTCTAGTGTTGTACAGTGTTTAATTATAAAATTGTAATGAAAGTTTTTGTGTGAATATAATTTATCTTTTTACGTAAATAAATTCGAGTAATATATATAGAATTAATAGTTATTGTTGTTTAATTAGAATTAATTAATTTTCACGCTGCCGACATCCACTTGGTACGTTTTTTTTTTGTTATCAAAATACAATAAAATCTTTTAGTGATGAAGTAAAACCTGACTTTTGTTTAGACCACAGGATTTTGTATAGATTTCGTAATGCCAAACTTCTTTATGGAAAAGTAGTCTAAATATAAGTTTTAATGGTTTAAAGTGCTGTGGGTGGGAGCGGCCGCATGCGATTTTAATGGGGATTGAAGAATTTAAGTTTGTTTGTGACTTTAAACAGTGAATATGCCTAAAAGAAATAATGTTTTGAGAAGACAGGCACGGAAAATGGTGTATGACGTTTTTTGAAATGAGAATAAAGTAATGATTGTATAGCGTGTGCGACAGTACACATGCGCAGCTATCCGCTCCACGTTTCGTTCAGCGCTAAACTTACGTGCCGCGACTTGTAATGTGTGTATGTGCATTCAACACGTCGAATTTTGCCCGATAGAAAAATAATCTGTAACTAAGCCTTTTTGATATGTTATCCAGTATTATACAAAATTAAAATGCATTATAAAAGTTACACAATGTAATAAAACGTGCTCTTTGGGTATTATGCCATTAATTTTGTAAATAAATACATACATCCTTTCACAAATCATAATGTAAACGGTATGTTCGCTATATTTACTATTAATACTAGATATGCGTTGAATGCATACTGCGACAGTTTAAGAGGGCTTTAAGTTAAATTCGATTTTACCGTTTTAAATATAGTAAATAAGCTATTTAATCGTATTTCGCCTACAATTCTTTGAGAAAAAGTTTAGTTTGATAGTTCATATTTTTCTTAGTATTTATAGATTTCATCCATAAGGTAACCAATTTAGGGAGCGTTCAAGTATTAACTAAGCAAACTATCTATGATTTTAGACCCACACGCCGCTGTATAAGCAAAAATAAGAAAATTGCACATTCCCACCTCCCCAAATGATTAGACGTAAGATTTTTTGGCTTACTCGTGTGAAGAGAAAAGTCTATTCTCGGAAATGTCATTTATTTTTAGTAAAAAATAATAAAAGAAATTCGGTATACCATAAACACAATAAATTAATAAAAATAGTATTAATTTAGATTATAAATATTTTTTTAAATAATTTCATTGTTGACCCCCCCCCCCGCCCTCAAGCCTGCTTTCGTAATACTTGAACGGCAACTTATTTCATTCATAACAGATATATGTATATTGATTGATATCATAGGAATTTATCCTACCAAATTATATAAGTGCTAAATACTGAAAGCTTTTTTTCAATATCGATTTTCTAGCTTTTTCGAAATAATTTCATTAAACTCGTCAAATAATTTATGGATTGTCGGTCTATATTGTTTGAGTACACGACACGATGAGGTAGACTGAAATAATAAAACACCTTAAATACGTATAAAAACACTTTGATCCTATACCATACAACGTTATAATACTGCTATAACTATGATACTTACCCTTGCTTTAGGACTAATTGATTCGGTGATATAAAAACAATGTAACGCTAGCATTATGTGCGAAAACATGACGCGTCCACAACTTAATTCTAAACTCGTCGATGAGAGCATTTAATGAAATATTTACCTATAAAAACAAGCCATCGATCGTGTTACTATGACGTTTTAAATAGGAGGAGTTTGCGCCAAATGCGGCCAATACCATCACCTAATATTCCATCCCTAATTTAAAAAAAAACCACTTAGTTAAAAAGGTGTGATCATGACTACAGCTAACGATTTAAATAAAAGCATATAATTCGTGATCAAACACTTAAAACTAAGGAAAATAGCGTAAATTTTCGTTAATTTCATAAAACGACACGTCCTATATACGTACCGTCAGCGCAAACAGTATACGTCTACCGTTAGCAAAACCTATCTAATATATTCTATATTATAATTAAGAATCTAAATTTTTACACCAACAAGAATTAAACATAATCCTTTTATTTATTATCAAGTCCGAAGTAGATAATAAATGAAAACAATAACTTCAACTAATATACGCATAGCGCACTTTTATCACAGCCAATATGGCCGCTATTTGCCCGCCAAAAACCTCCACGCCATGTTTATTAAACTTACGATTATTACAATACCAAATCTCTCTTAATAAATTCAATAACCGGGTGCGGTTTTGTGCCGCTAACTCATTCAGAGACTGAGACACTCTGATGGAAACGTAATACAGGCTATTGTGTAGTGAGAGCGGGCCGCCCGCTGCTTCCCTGTGCAGGGGCTCTTTATAGCTACGTCCATGTTTCTGAAGTCTGAATATGTTATCATATTGAGCTAAAACACGTATAAAACCGCACTCGTTTAGCTTAAGCGATTATAAGACTTTACCATAACACTTCGTCTATGCCGGTAGTTGCTACGTGATTCAGCATCGGATTTCACAGTTCAAGATTTAAATAGAAAATGCACTCGTTCAGATAAGTCTTTTTTAGACTTAGCTTAAAAAGTATAACAAAATATATAGAACGTCGTAAACGTAACTCGTAAGTAAATGATTAAGCCCCACTAAACAACTCCGTAAAAAAAAGCCATGATAGCTCAAGGTCTGTGTTGTCGTCAATTTCACGGCACACGAGCTACTTAGATTCGATCTCTGCGCGCACCAATGAAATTATGTTCATTACAATTTTATATGCCGAGTTACCATATGCTCAGAATGTGTAAAGAAAACCATTATGAAAAAACATGTAATTCTGAGAAATAAAATAGTTCGCGTCAACATAATATAATGGAACAACGCGCCGGACTATTTGCCCCAAAACCCTCTAGAAACGAGAGGAGGGAATAATTTAATGGTATGACATATCTCAACGTCACCGGACTGTCGTTGTTGATTTTATTATCTTTTAGACAATGTCGTTATCGACGACTCCGTGGTGCAGTAGCTTACAATTATTGAGTTACCATTCAAATCCCACACGAAATAAATCCAATACACTAGAGGTGCCATAAAAGGCGACAGGGCGAAATTAAAAGAGGTGAACAACAGCAGTACAGGAAATTTCCCCCATCATAAAATTATACGTTAACAAAAGAAGTAATAATTCTTTTGTAAATGATATTTATCATAACTTCATCTATAGAACTGTGTATCCGTTACATAAACACGCTCCGCAGTAAGCAACCTTAGGCATATAGCGTTAAAGTTTTAAATTGAACCGCGACGCGCACAACCAAGCTTCCATTCACAATTGAACCTTACACACTTAGTAATAAGAGTTACAATGTCTGCGGCGTGTGTTTAGACGGCTGTCGCTTCAGCCGCCTATTGACAGGTCACTGTCAGTTGTTCTTGTCGATGTTGTGTATTGCCCAGTTCACTGACGCCTTCCACGAGTTCTTCACTGCCTCTATAAACTTTAGCCGGAAGTGCTCCAGTGCTTTTTCTTCGGATAAATCCATTACCTGTTGAACCAAATACGGACGAATTATAAACGATAATTTGCGATAATAACCATCGTTGATAGAATCGGGGGTTGCTATTATCTTATTAAGGCGCTACTCCTAGCGAAAGACCTTGATTGTTTAGTCTTATACATTCCATGCGCTCTCGCTACAATACAGGATGTCCCAAAACTCGACATTAACCCGGAACCGGGTGAAAAGGCAAGTAATACTGGTTGTCAGAAAAATAAAAATAATCTAAGTTGCATGTTTTCAAAATTATAGGCATTTAAAAAAAAACGGAAAAATTTCACATCCTGTGATAGTCTTTTCACTCCTGTTGCCACATATCTTTACTTTTTCCAACTATTTTTTTTTTGTTATGAAACCCTGAATATTGCTTCTCTTAACTGGTACCAAAATTTCAAAACCAGTTGCTCTAGCTTGCTTAAAAATAGGACTTATTTTCTAAAAAAAATTATAAATTATAAATTGCCTAGATTTAACTGACTGTATTGAAAAAAAAATTGTACTACGCGAGTTTGACAAATAGCGTCTAAAGTTGGCGCATTTAGTAAGGATCCCAAAATGGTATAACAATTGGTGAATTGTAGCTGCAATCGTGGACATTGTTTTTTTTTTCTCGTAAAAACCCAGTTTTAACAAGTTTTTCTTACTTGGTTAAAAATTATCCTAATGTACCCAAAACTTTCCAAAGGGTCGTAAATTATAGCTTGACGTGAAGGCGTCATTCTAATGAAGTGTAAGCGAGACAGGTATTGAAGCTAAAGTGACTCAGACGGATAGAATCACCTTATCAAGTGCGAGCGAGATAGGTATGGACGCAAAAGTGGCTGAGACGTAGAGAATCATCTTAGCAAGTTCGAGCGAGACAGAGAGTGACGAAACGAAATTTTTCCGTTTTTTTTAAATGCCTATAATTTTGAAAACATGCAACTTAGATTTTTTTAATTTTTCTGACAACCAGCATGACTTGTCTTTTCACCCGGTTCCGGGTTGACGTCGAGTTTTGGGACAATCTCCTATCGCGTAAGAAATGCACCCAAATTGTAAAATATTTTTTTATAAAATCGAATTTTAGTCCTTTGAAAAAATTAAATACAACAAAATGTTCATTTATAAATCGCCTATCCATTACAAAATTGCAAAGTAAAATAATTGCTTTCTTTATGAGGAGATGTATGTTATCAATAATTGTTTCGTATTTCTGTGGTTTAGTTGTAAGATTCATCAAGTATTTACTCCTTTTAAAAAAAATGGAATTGGCTATTATGGAATCAAGCTGTAGACATTTAATAGATTTTATTAGTTGATATATATTTTTAATAACAAGTAGATAGCTCTTAAAAACCTCACAAACAACGACTAGCGCGGCATTTTGCTCAAACACGCACCTTTATTAAAGATGTTAAAATTAATTAGCTAAGATCCAGATGGTTGAGCACCGCAGTTTATTTTTCCTCGTGATTCCACGTTTAAAGGCAAAACCCCTATTATATTTATCTTTCCTAGTATAGTGGTTTTGGGGTGGTGGTGATGATGATGGTGCACACAATTGAGGGAGGGAGGGTCGTAGGTAAGACAAACATTTTTTAAGCGGATCTAAGCTAATCAATTTCAACATCTATAATATAATCTCCATTATCTTTTCACAACAATCCATCGGGAATGCAATATTTTAGTTTGGCAGTCCGCATTATAAATCAGAAATTAAAAGAAATAAAATAAATAGAAATTATAAATCATAAGACTATTGTCGCTTAAATAATAATCAAGTCTTTTTACTTAATTGTAGTAACATGTAACTAAGAAAATCAAATTAATCTTACCAAAGTTTCTCTGAGATATTGCAGATCCTTCTCCGACCTAAGCTCGGGTAGACCAGTGGAGATCATCATTGAAAACAGGGATAAGATCAGATGACCGTGTTTTCGGAGAATTTTGAAGGCCTGGGAAATAAAAGCTTTACTAAATATTTTGATATATATTGTATAAGTTTAAATATATATAAGTGATGACCTACGGAACTGAGACGTGGTCCTTCACTGCTGGCCGTATGAGGACGCTCAAAGTCGCTCAGCGAGCTATGGAGAGGGCTATGCTCAAAGTTTCTCTGCGTGATAAACTTAGAAATGAGGATATCCGCAGTAGAACCATAGTGACCGATATAGCCCAACGGATTAGTAAGCTGGTAAGCTGAAGTGGCAATGGGCCGGCCATATTATAGCTCGAAGAACCGACAGCCCTTGGGGAAAAAAGGTTCTCGCGTGGCAGCCTCGTACCGGTAGGCGAAGTGTAGGGCGACCCCCCACTAGATGGAGTGACGACTTGGTAAGACATGCAGGAAGTCGATGGTTGCAGGTGGCTCAGGACCGTGCTTTGTGGCATACTTTGGGGGAGGCCTATGTTCAGCAATGGACTTGTGAAGGGCTTTAATGATGATGATGATATATAATAACTTAAAGTGGTTTTAAATTTGAAGTGAAGTTTGTGTATATTTTTCAATTATGAAATGTAATAACCTCTGGCTGTCTTTAAAATAAATGAAATGACAAAAATCGAAGAATAGCAGAGCGCATTTCACAAAATTTAACTGCAGCAGACCATGTTTGCATGGGAGCGAATGGAAGCGGTTCTGTAGGACGCTGACGAAAACTTGAAGCGGAAGTTTCCGGAGTTTTACAGGTTGCGTGTATTCATATCACGAGTGACCAATTTGGCCGTGTAAACAAAAACAGAGATTTCCCGCCAAACAAGGTATTCAGCCCAGAAGAGCGGCCAACGCTCAGTGTAGTATTACGAAGCTGTTCAATAATACCAGAGTAGTTCGGAAACTTCTATAGCGTGATTTAAGGAAGTTTTGCTTGTGACACGAGAGGCTAAACGATCGATCGATTAGTACGCCTTGCCACGCTGTAGCTATATGGTTGTAGCATGAATGAGTTGGCTCGATCGGGGTAGGACCACGCTATTACAGAATACCAGCTTAATGCTGCCGTGTTTCACATGGTGAGTGTAGAGAACCGGAGGCCCTTTTTACTGGAAACGAGGCATTCCCTCTCAGTCCTCAGGAGTGACAACGCATCCGCATTTTATTTCTTAATTGACGATGTCTATGGGCCACAACATCCACTTGCCATCAGATGGACTGTGTGCTCGTTTGTCACACAATTTGTTTTGAATATACTTACAGTCTCACAATGTTCTTTAAAAATCTTAAAGTCGAGTGCTTCATTAACTCCGGATCCTCGCTGCCCCTTATTTATGACGTGAATAAAGTCGTGCGTTAGAACGAAGGGCACACGCTCTCGTTTGAACCCGTACTTCTGCTTGAAGTGCCCAAGAAAGTGGCCGAAATCTATATGGAAAAGCTGCAACAAAAAAAAAATTAAATGATTTCTAGAAAATTATGTGGAGTGTGTATACATGCGATGGTCGTTATGAAAAATACTGGATAAATTTAAGTAAAATAATCCTATTTTCACGAATGTTTTCGAATTTATAATTTACTTTACTACCTAAGTTTATCTAAATCAAACGCGATGAACAGTTTACGGCTAGGCAATGATTTTAGGCATAGACATTCTTTTAAGTAAGGAAATTCTTACATATTTCATATCTGGTAGACTCATGTTGCAGCTATATTATTGTTCTATTACGAATGGAAGATTGTGTGATTGAAGACGAAGAGTGTGGTTTGCAAGATGATGTTGTGACCAGGATTAAGAAAGGAATGCTTCGGTGGTTTGGTCATGTGGAAATAATGAATGAGGAAAGAATGACAAAGAAAATTTATGTTGCAGAAGTGAATGGCAGAGTCGGAAAGGGACGTCCTAGGCGAAAATTTATCGACCAAATTGGCGATTTATTGAAAACGGGCCAAATTAGGAGCACCCTTAACCGACGAGCATGTATGCGTAGGTATATGGGTGTGAAGGAGGCGAGAGAGGTATGTCAGAATCGTGCCAAATGGAAGTCTGTAGTCTCTGCTTACCCCTCTGGGTGACAGGCGTGAGTCTTTATGTTATGCTGTTAAGGACGTGTTTGGACGTGTTATATTACGAATGGGTCGTCGCGACCGGGGATGTATCACGCTTTCACAGAATGCAAGGGTGAAATAGCAACTTAATATTACCGTGTTTGGTATATAGGATAGATGTAGGTATCTACGGCCACATCATCCAATTACCATCAAGTGGACTATGCACTTATTTGTCGCCCTTAATCTAAAAAAAAAACTCATTTTTAACAACAAGAATAAATATACATACATATATACATAAACACTCACGCCTGTCACCCAGAGGGGTAGGCAGAGACTACGGACTTCCATTTGGCATGATCCTGACACCTCTCTCGCCTCCGTTACATCTATATACCTACGCATACATGCTCGTCAGTTAAGGGTACTCTTAATCTGACCCATTTACAATAAATCGCCAATTCGGTCGATAAACTTTCGTCTAGGGCGTCCCCTTCTTAATTCTGTCCCCTTCTTAATTCACTTTTGCAACATAAATCATTGTCACTCTTTCTTCGTTCATTCTTTCTACATGGCCAAACTACAGAAGCATTCCTTTCTTAATTCTAGTCACAACATCATCTTGCAAACCACACTTTTCTCATATCACTCAATTTCTCACCCTCAGATTCAACCCTAACATACTCCTTGATGACCATATTTCTACAACATTTATTCCACTTCCGTGGTTCTTATGCCACACTCAACTTTCACTCCCATACATTAAAGTAGGGACTATTTTTTTATTATATGCGAGCAGCTATGCAAGTCTAGGTAAAGAGACCAGTATCACTGCGACCTAAAAAAGATCTATTGTGATCGCTGCTCTGGCTATAGTTCACTGCTAAGCCCTATGTCTTCAATGAATCGAAGGAGTTGCTTAGCCGTGAGCAATTTCACTTCTTCTGGGCGGAGAAGATAGTGTCCCAGATGAGTGTTATGTTTGCGCATTAAGATGTGTAGAGAAACGCAAATCGGTTAGGATGTGTAGAGAAGTAGGGACTAACATTGTGCCTTTTTTGACACATTCCGACTTCCCACAGTAGAGTGAAGAGCCCCATTTACTATATTTCCTACTTTCACTTGTCGTTCTATATCCTTATCATATGTACCATCCCTGCTAAATACACATCCCAAAGACACAAACTCATCCACTTGCTCAACCAACTCCCCTTCTATTCTTATTTCACATATCGTTTTACTTTCTTCTCTTTCAAAAACCATAACTTTCGTCTTACTTGCATTTACTTTCATTCCCCTTTCTTTTAATGACTTGTTCAATTAATGTCACTATCATTTGCAACTCGACCGGCGACGACGCATAGATGACTTGATTATCGGCTTACAAAAGGCATTTTTAACAGCTAACTCAACCATTCTTAACCTACATTCTTCAACTTTAAAAGTTTCCAAACAACTGTCCATAAATAGGTTGAACAGCCACGGGGAAGCCACACAGCCCTGTCTGACACCTTTATGGATGCCAAATCAGTCTGAGTGGGCCCCGTTGTTGACACAAACACTAGAGTCCCTATCAGAGACCTATTAGTGGGTCTCTGATAGGGACTCTAATGTTTGTGTCAACCCAAATGTTGTGTCTCCCCAAATGAGTTCAGCTTTTTCCATAAAATATCCCTGTCCACTCTGTCATAAACCTTTTCCAAGTCATTAAAAACACAAAAAATGTTCTTGTTTTTGGTCAAAGACTTCACCGCGATCATGAATGGAAAAGACTTGATCCGTACACCCCATCTACCCACCCTTTTTAAATCCAGCTTGCACATCCCAAAATTTTCCACAGTTTCTTTCATAACTTTCAATTATCACCTTATCCAGGCTGGTGCAACTTCCATAGTAAAAATTATATCTACGAAGCATGAGCCAATTTTAATGGCTGTTATCTCGTCTTTTTACTTTTCGTAATATGTCTATCAATGACATTGTCAAATCAAATAGATTCAAATGTCAAATCAAACTGTTACATTTTTATTTATTTTAATGATGTAGATAATTAAAAAGTAAAGAGGTCGTTGTTCTTTTATAGAATTGTTAAAAATCAAATATGAATAATAAAACTTGCCACTTAGATGATGTATGAAGCGAAAAAATAATAACAAGAAAAGGCTATTCATAACAATATTTCCCGTAGATGATGAAAGTTACGTGGTGATTTCAACTTTAATTGGTTCGCTGGAGACTAGCCATCTACTTAGGGCAGGTTTTTATATTATTCGATTGTGTGCACAAATATAAACGCACTCTATTTCCTAACTCTGATAATTCGATGGGATCATTCTATTTGTTCAATAAAAATGTCATTTTATTCATATTATTTTTTCAGATGAAAGCAATGGTAGCTGTGGTAGCTCAGATGGTTAACGTTCGCTGTAAATATAACAGAACGCGAGTAACCCGGGTTCGATCCCCGCCGGCATTAATGAAATTGTAGTTGCAATTTTAAGTGCTGATTTAGCACGTGCTCGGCGGTGAAGGAAAACATCGTGAGGAAACCCGCATGTCTGAAGAATAAGAAAAAAAATATTTCATATAACATACTGTCATATGTTTCATATACAACTGTCGTGACCCTTTTCCCTTTTATATTAGGACTATAACGGCTTTGCACCGGTCTCCCGATACCCGCTCACTTCTCTTCTCCAGTCTTTAGCATTTCAAGTGATACTCTATCACATCCCGCTGCCTTATCTGTTTTCATGCTTTTTATTGCTTTCATTATTTCATCTATACTTATCTCCCTACCTCTTTTCACTTTTTTGGAATTTCTATATCATTTAATTCAAATGTTTCCTCACTCATAAACATGCTTCCAAAGTATTCCTTGCATCTGTTTAAACTCAAAAATATGTAATGACAAACAATTTAACAGATTATTAGGTGTCCATTTAGGCAATAGGATCTGTAAACTTGCCCTAACTTCAAACAAAAAGTAATATTTAAAAGAAGCAAGTGTTACCTGTCCACACTTCTTGACCATAATATTGTCAGGATGCCTGTCGGCGATGCCCAGCACGTACGTGGCGACGCAGTAGCCTGCACAGCTCATGGTGAACTCTTCCACGGCCTTATTGAAACCACTCTCAGTTGGATTTTGCTTTTTTAACCATTCTGCGACAAATCATTATGTGTAAGAGAGACAAAATAGTGCAAAAGATTTCTAAAAAATAGTCCAGTGCAAACCACTGCACATATTTCTTTGGTGATCTTATAATAATACATAATCAATAAGTACTAAAATTGAATAAAACTATTATTTACGGATTTTATCGCGTTTAATATCTTTAATTTATTTTTATTATTATCCCGACGTTTCGGGTGCTTTACAGCGCCCATGGTCACGGGGGGGACTGAGATGTTTGACGTCCCAATGTCATAGTTAGTCCGGCTACCTTCAGTTTTTTAATATTAATTTTTGGTCCGATTTACGCAAAACGAGCTTATAGTATCATGAAGTCTTGCAGTGGTATGCTTGGGTTTGGGTTTAATTTTGTTGATTATAGGATCCCAAGCAGATGGTAGCACCCAACCATCTTCTCTATTGAAATTTGGATGTTTTTTAATTTCAATAGCCTCGCGTATCATCCTTGGTAGGAATCGGTGTTCTTTTGCGAGAATTTGTGGTTTATCAAATCTAATGTAATGGTGGGGACGATCTTGAACATGTTCGCAGACTGCAGACTCCCTAATTTCAATAGAGAAGATGGTTGGGTGCTACCATCTGCTTGGGATCCTATAATCAACAAAATTAAACCCAAACCCAAGCATACCACTGCAAGACTTCATGATACTATAAGCTCGTTTTGCGTAAATCGGACCAAAAATTAATATTAAAAAACTGAAGGTGGCCGGACTAACTATGACATTGGGACGTCAAACCCCCGTGACCATGGGCGCTGTAAAGCACCCGAAACGTCGGGATAATAATAAAAATAAATTAAAGATATTAAACGCGATAAAATCCGTAAATAATAGTTTTATTCAATATGTAGTGTTCGCGTAAATTTAAGAAATCAATAAGTACTAAAATGCTGAATCTAACTTAAATTATAAAAATAAACTGTAAAGTAAAGTAATGTCAGTGAATGTTGCGTCATAATAGATCGAGCCATTTCTAAGTTTAGCCGACAGACAAAAATTTTTAAAATTTATTTTTGTTAAGTACCGCATATACTTTCATATTACGAATCTATTATATTTGAAGTATATATTCATAATTTGGAACACATTTTTGTCTCATTATTACAGTTTGATCAGAACTCGCTTGCCAATAGCTTCAGGGTAGGTGGTTTTCGTCCAGATGCAAGGAAAAATTAAATTAAAAATACTCTTTTATCTAAATGCCTCGTTACTACTAGTATAATAAGGCATTTTAGATCTCAAGGTTGACAATGCATCTAAATTTTTATTTTCGCTCGAGGATAGCTGATCTGTGGACTGTGTACTCGTTTGTCACGTAAAATTCTAAAAAAATATATAATAATACAATTTTAATGTAGACTTTTAAATATTTCAAAACAGCATTAGTAAAGTTTTTAATAAATGTATTCACAAGAACTCACGAAACAGATTGGCCTTGTATATAGTGGAAGCTGCATTGAAGAGGGCACTCTGCTTCTGAATGTTGGCGACCGTCTCCGCGTCGTCTACGACTTCGATCATTCCCACGGCGTACTCCATCGATATACAGTTGTACGGGTTCAACCTGAAAGAAAATGTACCAAGTTATGATTTCGTTTAAAAAAAAAGTTAAGAGCCGTGGTAGCTCAGATGGTTAACGCTCGCTGTAGATATAACATAACGCGAGTAACCCGGGTTCGAACCCCGCCGGCACCAATGAAATTGTTAATTGCAATTTTAAGTGCTGATTTACCATGTGCTCGGCGGTGAAGGAAAACATCGTGAGGAAACCTGCATGTCTGAGGAATAAGAAAAAAAATATTTCGAAGACATGTGAAGTTCGCCAACACGCATTGGGGCAGCGCGGCGGACACTTCCTTGCCCTAAAACCCCCTCAGAAATGAGGGGAGGCCTGAGCCCAGCAGTGGGACGTATATAGGCTCTAATTTTACTTTACTCTTACTATTTTTAAAAAAAGTTACCCTCAATAGAATTTTCTCCTGTATCGTAGGGGTCAGATTGCATACATAAATTTCATCAGTGACAAATATCTAGACCAGGAGGAATTATTTATAGGCCATACACCCTGGCCACAGAATAGGGCCACAGGGCAACTGTAAAAGTACTGTGATAATGCTATTTACTATATTGCCATCAGGTGGACTGTGTGCTCGTTTGTCATCCTATCCTAAAAAAAACTATATATTTTATAGACCTTGATTACAGAAATATGTTTTATTTTGAGAATAAGTAGAAGGCTTTAGTTATACCAACCAAATAAAGTAAAAAACTTTACACAGAACACTTATATGGGTAAGAGGCTACTATGGAAAATGCCAGATTTTTTTATAGTTAATGGTGGAAAATTTAACAATTTCTTTTATGTATGATAAATGCAAATTAGTCAGACTGTCTATAAGGAATGTAGCAGCAGCACACAGGGCAACTGTAAAAAAATAACAATAAAAAACATTACTATTCATACTTATTCAGTGCGGAATTCGAACCCGTAGCCCTCTTTGCTAAGCCAATGCGCCACTGAGCTGTCAAATTAATACTATTATGCACCTTCGAATGTGCACGCGACGTTGCGAGTCTAAGTGTTCGTTCTGCAGTCAGCCAGAATGTTTTAACAGCTTTATAGCACTCGTAAAACAGCAGCTAAATGCTGCTTTTTCGTTTGACGAGTGTAAAGAACCGGAGACGCGTTTTACTGGATACGAGGTTTTCCATCTTAGTTCTCAGGGGTGGCGACGCATCTGCATTTTGATTCTTATTCGGGGATAGGTGTAAATGTCTACGAGCCATAGCATCCACTTACCATCAGGTGAACTGTGTGTTCGCTTCGTGAGGCTATAATAAAATAGGTTGTCTGATGATTACATCAGCACATTTCTGAACATCAAATCTCCGGGACGCGTTTTATTCATTCAGTCAGTATACGGACGAGTTATCACGCTATCGCCCGAGCGGAAAATGGTCCTAAATGTGTAGAGTATATAGTTTAACATAACATGCGGTCCATTAATTAAGTAATTTCAATATTATTTATATTTCTACATAAATCATACCTAAAGTCGTATCCAGCGTTCTTCCACAATCTGTCCATAATCCGCAGCATTTGAAGTGTGAACATATCTTGCCGCAGATCGTCGCCAATCTTCAGGATGATCCGTATGTCCGAGCCGGTGGGATCTACGTTTTCGAATTCCAACATCAGAGGTCGCATTTTGCTGTCCATTACCCGACATCGCTCTGGTCTGTGAAAAGTAATTTTTATTAGAATTATGCAGTCACGCAGTGTCCGAGATACGGGGGCTATCACAACGAGCAGGAACATGTTCAGGATCGTCCTTACCGTTAGATCACATTCTATATACCTCAAACAATCGCAAAAGTATACTGATACAATTTTTTTAATACTAGAGGGGACAAACGAGCATGCTTACCTGATGGTAAGTGACTACCGCCGCCAGGAGAATTACAGGTGCGTTGCCGGCCTTTTTAAAAAGGAGTAAGCACTTTTCATGAAGTCCTAGTCCCTAAGTCGTATTGGTCCAGAAAAATCACCGATTGGTAAACGATTCCACAAAGAGGTTGTATGAGGAAGAAAACTCCTAGTAATATTACAGAGATCTTGGTATGTATTATGTCTCTATTATAAATTTACCCAAAAATGAACTGCTAGTGTTATAGTCTATACTTTGCAACACAAAGTTTAGATTTATTGTGTATGTTAAAATAATAGACGTCACTCATTATGTCAAAGACATTAATTTTTTTAAATTTTTTTGTTTTTTTTTTTTGGTGGAAGAGGGTTAAACCCGAGGAACAAGTATTTGTATGGCCTACAAATTATTGTTTCGGATCTATATGTTTGTCCTTGTGAAATTTATGTGTGTAAACTGCTCTCACGATAGAGAAAATCCTAGTGTGGAGGTGGAGGTAGCGTTTTTAAAAAGATAAAAAAATTGGAATAATATATAAATAGGCTTCTTCGTTTATAGTTGTTTGGTAATCAGGTGAATGGATTGAATTTATTTGTCATTATTATTTATATCAAAAAAACAACGACATGAAAATAACTTTTTAAAATTTTATTAGAATTAGTTTCTTTAATAAATTACAAGAATTAAGATTATACGAAAAATGAATTAAAAGAACTCTGCTACTTTACTGAACCACGTCGGCTACGCAAGTCAATGTAGTATATATAGATGTACTTGACACACTTAAAGTTGTCAAGTTATACGAAGATGTATAACTTGACAACTTTAAGGCGTAGACGTAGTAAAAACTAAAAAACTCCAAGTATAAAATTATTCACACACAATACTTACTTAATTTTCTTACAGATTAAACTAGGTGTTAGGGGTGATACAAAGTCACACAGTGTTTCCATGCAATGTTGCTCCTGTAGATGTTGGTGCAACGCTGCTCGTGCTTTTGATATTTCCTTCTTCTTTCGGACACACTGACTGGCCCCTAACATGATAAATTTAAGAGTAGTTTACATTAGAATGTAATAATAATAGTTACGTAGAGAATATGCAAAAAATTTCTTACATATTGTTCCGCTTTAGATATTATGACAATTCAGGTTACAGGATACTGGGAATCTTAGGTGACTAGTTGAATAAAAAAGTCTCCAAAACAAGTTAGGTAGATATATTAGTGATCATAATACTATATGTACTATCACATCTCTATGGTCTAACAACGCCCAAAGGGGTACATCGGTTTGGATGATACAAATATGAAATAGGCTAACGGAAGTTGCAATATCCTCTGAGGGTTTCCTTTTATATTTATAAAAGACTAGGCACTTGTAAGAGTTAGAAGATACAACATTAAATTAATGAAATGATAATTAAATCAAATTAAGCCGAGTCACCTGTATGTATTGACTATCTGCATTAAATAAATAGCTTGCTGAGCGACCTGCTGCTGAGCTTCCTCATATGATTTGGATATAATTTTATCATCACTACAAGATTTAGAACATTTCACTTACATTAATTTACATTTAACTTGTATTAATAATGTTACCTTTTTTCTTTTAAAATATGTAATAACAGTAAAAGTACATTGATTTAATTGTTCCCTATTTTTGCCCTTAGTACCTTTTTTATTTTTGTGTGTATCAGTTCACATCCACTCAAATGCCGATGTACCTCCAAATGTATGATGGCAAAATAATATCCCGTGTGATAAAAGTTTTAAGCAGAGCGCAGTAAGATGCGATGATGAACTCTCTTTTCATAACAATACATAACTCTGATTTATAAAAGAAAATAAAAAATCCCATACATTTAAGTTTGTCGAGGCAAGTGATCTGGCGCATGAGGCTGTTGATGTGGTCCTGGCAGCCGCGGCAGTACGCCTCCAGCATCAGCCCGAAGCGCACCGACACGGCGGGCACGTGCATCTCCGACCTGCCATACGTAATACGATATTACTTTCTTTATAAAAACGAATATAAAGAATTATTAGTAACGTGACCGCCAGATAAGGATCTTCTGTTGTACCCTAGAGGTATTTTACATAAACAAATTGCACAAAGACAAACATCCAAACCCCGAACAATTATTTTTTTAAATGGAGACAGTGTATTGTTTTATACAACAACTGAGCGGCATGCGCTCGGTACGTTCTTGGATTACTAACATACGAATTTAATTTTTTAGTTGGTTAATAAAAGTTAATATTAAGAAAAGTTAATAAAAGAAAAGATAAGAATTTAATTTCATAAAAAAAATTATAAGCATTTGAATGAAATTTTGCAGCCAGTCCTAAGCCTGGAAACGTATGAAGGGAAGTTCAACTGAGAAAATTACCTTAATACTCAAATTACACGCATAGCATACATATTATAATATCTATAAACTGTTACATATTCGTAATCATAACATAACACAAAAGTAAAACTACTTAATATTATAATACCTTTAACCTGTTAATATTTTCTTTACCATTCCAACCAACAACCAACAATTTATTCCAATACCAACAATTCGGATTTTAGACTACTTAAATATGGTTTTTATAACAGCTTAAAAAATTTATAGTGTGAAAAGAAAGCATCTGTAATATCGAAATATCTGGCGTATATTCCATTAAGATAATAATAACCATTTTTTAAATTCCTGTCTGTCTGTTTGTCTGGGTTAATTGTCGAAATGGCAAAACCGATTGTGATAAATCTTCACAAACAGATAGATTTTGAACTATAGTGTTTTGTCACTTTTTTTCTAGTATATAATAAACACTCACCTCAAATGCCAAAAAAGAAAGTGACCAATGGTCATGTTACTGAAGGCCCGTTGAAGTAAGAACACGGAGAGGTCGCACATCAAGTAGGATTCGTGTTTCAAAGCTTGGACCAGTTGTAGTAAGTAGAGAAGTAGGTTTTCATCTCTGCATGAACATAGAAAGAAAGTAATCGTATTAAAATATTGGTTCTATGGCTTTTAATTATTGTAAAAACAAATGAAAGATTTTTTAAATCGGCGTTCTCACCTGACTTGCAACAAGGTGCGAGCGTATGCACTCACCTTCACTGCGACGAGGTGTGAGCGTGTGCAGCACTCACCTGCGCTGCGACGAGGTGTGAGTGTGCACTCACCTGCGCTGCGACGAGGTGTGATTTTGTACTCACCTGCGCTGCGACGAGGTGTGAGTGTGCACTCACCTGCGCTGCGGCGAGGTGTGAGTGTGCACTCACCTGCACTGCGACTTGGTGTGAGTGTGCACTCACCTGCGCTGCGACGAGGTGTGAGCGTGTGCACTCACCTGCGCTGCGACGAGGTGTGAGTGTGCACTCACCTGCGCTGCGGCGAGGTGTGATTGTGCACTCACCTGCGCTGCGACGCTGTGAGCGTGTATACTCACGATGACAAGGTGTGAGCGTATGCACTCATCTGCGCTGCGACGAGGTGTGAGCGTGTGCACTCACCTGCGCTGCGGCGAGGTGTGAGCGTGTGCACTCACCTGCGCTGCGACAAGGTGTGAGTGTGCACTCACCTGCGCTGCGGCGAGGTGTGATTGTGCACTCACCTGCACTGCGACGAGGTGTGAGTGTGCACTCACCTGCGCTGCGACGAGGTGTGATTGTGCACTCACCTGCGCTGCGGCGAGGTGTGATTGTGCACTCACCTGCGCTGCGACGAGGTGTGAGTGTGCATTCACCTGCGCTGCGACGAGGTGTGAGTGTGCACTCACCTGCGCTGCGACGAGGTGTGAGTGTGCACTCACCTGCGCTGCGGCGAGGTGTGAGTGTGCACTCACCTGCGCTGCGACGAGGTGTGAGTGTACACTCACCTGCGCTGCGACGAGGTGTGAGCGTGTGCACTCACCTGCGCTGCGACGAGGTGTGATTGTGTACTCACCTGCGCTGTGGCGAGGTGTGATTGTGCACTCACCTGCGCTGCGACGAGGTGTGAGTGTGCACTCACCTGCGCTGCGACGAGGTGTGAGTGTGCACTCACCTGCGCTGCGACGAGGTGTGAGTGTTGCACTCACCTGCGCTGCGGCGAGGTGTGATTGTGCACTCACCTGCGCTGCGGCGAGGTGTGATTGTGCACTCACCTGCGCTGCGACGAGGTGTGATTGTGCACTCACCTGCGCTGCGGCGAGGTGTGATTGTGCACTCACCTGCGCTGCGACGCTGTGAGCGTGTATACTCACATGCACTTCGACGAGGTGTGAGCGTATGCACTCATCTGCGCTGCGACGAGGTGTGAGTGTAGCACTCACCTGCGCTGCGACGAGGTGTGATTGTGCACTCACCTGCGCTGCGGCGAGGTGTGATTGTGCACTCACCTGCGCTGCGACGGTGTGAGCGTGTATACTCACATGCACTTCGACGAGGTGTGAGCGTATGCACTCATCTGCGCTGCGACGAGGTGTGAGCGTGTGCAGCACTCACCTGCGCTGCGACGAGGTGTGATTGTGCTCACCTGCGCTGCGACGAGGTGTGATTGTGCACTCACCTGCGCTGCGACGGTGTGAGCGTGTATACTCACATGCACTTCGACGAGGTGTGAGCGTATGCACTCATCTGCGCTGCGACGAGGTGTGAGCGTGTGCACTCACCTGCGCTGCGGCGAGGTGTGATTGTGCACTCACCTGCGCTGCGACGGTGTGAGCGTGTGCATCACTCACGTGCGCTTCGACGAGTGTGCGTATGCACTCATCTGCTTGCGACGAGGTGTGGGCGTGTGCACTTACCTGCACCTCTACGAGGTGCGATCGTGCGCACTTACCTGCACTGCTAGGAGGTATGAGCGCGCGCGCACATTCATTTGAATTGCAAGGAGGTGTGAAGTCTCGGGTGTTACCTGATCTCTGCCAGGCACTTCACGGCGAAGCTGCGCACGGCGGCGTCCGCGTAGGCGGAGTCGAGCAGCTCGAGCGCGCACTCGACGCGCAGCAGCGGCCAGCCCGCCACCATATGCGCCACGCTCGCCGCCTCCGCGCGCTCGCCCCACTCCACGCACGACAGCAGCTTCGGCAGCAGCTCCGGCGCTTCCACGCGGAAGTACTCCCTGGCGATTGTGAACACAAGTTTTGGATAAAACGATACCTCGCCGTCTGATGGAAACATCAGAGAATCTATTATTGTGAATTATAGCTAACACACTCACGTTTACGTTTCACTGTAAAAAGAACATATTGAATACGAGCCCCAATGCGTGTCGCGTAATTTATTTCACCACCGAACACGTGGAACTTAACACTGCAATTGACAACAACCGTATTCAATCCTCGCCCGGACCAATGGGTGGAGCTCGAACGCGGTTTGCTCGCGTAGTATGAAATTTTATAGCTGGCATTTAACCACTTTGTTACATGACTTTAATCTACATTATAGACAGTATAGTTATGCATGAGTGAAATTTTATACTATCGATCTCACATGTGTAGTTTATAAGTTTAAATAAAATACTATACTATACTATATAACTTGTTATTGGAGTTAATAATAACAAAATGCCATAAACCACAAAAAATCAGTCCAGTTTTGCTAATTTGTGGGCTAGGACGCGTTCTGAGTTTTCTTCATAATTTAATGATATTTAAATTTATTTCTGCCATTGAGAAATAAGTATACATTTTTAAAATTTTCGTTTGCATTTTTGTCCGAGCTAATCTTCGGAATGGCCGAACCCATTTACAATAAAACTTCACGAACAAATAGAATATCATTGCAGGTGTCATGATCTAGACTAAATTTTATCCGGACGTTTTTATTAAAATAGAATAAAAGAGATTTTATTAAAATAGAAATATTTATAAGCGCGCGTGGGGCTGTGCGTGATCGTGTGCGCGCGAGCGTGCACGGGTTTGTACGTGTGCGGGCGTGTTCGTGTGCGTGTGTGTATATAAGTAAAAGCGTATTTTTAAAAACGATTTGCCTCACCAAAACTACAGTTTTATTCAAAGATTACTGTAATTTTAAATCACACTCACCTAGAAGCCCAAATGTCTTTTTTCTCTTGTTCGTGCATTTCATACATAGGATCTTTTTCAGCCGTCGCTCGAAGCTGTTCAAAGTCTCGGCTGAGTCGCGCAATGACGTCAGGTGAGCCTAGTTCAATGTCGTCCGCGTAGGCTTTTACTGTCTCTTGTTTTGGGAACAGTATCGGGAACTGGCAGTCAAAACTAAAAAAAGGTATAATTTAGTAAAGCAAAACGGTATATAAATAAAATTCTTAATTTTAGAGAAATGTATCATTGAGGTTTAAATATGCGCTTTAAAACAATTAAAACGATAAAATGATACCGTGACTGTATTAAATAATTTATTATTGATTAGTAAACATTATAATAGAAATAATTTCATTATAAATATCAAAGGACAGAAAATATTTGTATTTAGAAGATTTTAATCACAGAAATAGTAATAATAAGACAATAGAAATGAATTAGCGCTCGATTACTTCCAAAACCGATGTCGCCACATCTTACCGTATTATAAACATACGCAATGCACAATGATATCTAATGATTCACATTACGCGTGCATCGAGTATTACGGTAGAATAAAAGCAGCAATGGTAATTGTAAATAAGAAAAGTAATAAATGAAAGTTTACGAAGGTAAATATCATAGTAAAGTATTCACCTAGATGTAAATTAGTTAAACAATGATGATTAGTAAATAATCAACTTAACGTGGTGCGGGGAACGTCGTACGTGAAGTACGACGTTCCCCGCGCAACTAAACTACAAAATGGTGAATGATGTTCGTCAACACAACATCATAACGGCTACAAGGTCACGCGTCTATGCGACTACTATTGTCTTATTATTACGATTTCAGTGATTTTAATAGATCTTTGATAAAATTATCTGATGGTTTGCATTTGTTTTTAAAACCTCAAATACATAATAATTCTATATTCAACATAATATATGTACATAATATATTATAATTACAGCCTATCAAAAGTTCATTGCTGAACATATAGGCCTCTCCCATTTTTCTTTATAGGGATATAATTTATTTACAATTGATCGGTTTGATTTCATACGTGAAATTAAATTTATTTAAATGATTTAAATATAGAATAATAACCAAATATTAACCTATGTTTATTCATGTTATAATGTTGTAATACAGTAGACATATCACGGAAGGCACACCACTGCTGTAGTTTAACTAATTAAATTTTTATTAGTGAAACAAATTGACTTTGTATTAATTACATATTTAGTATAAAACGCCCTCTGGTCAAACCTAAGAAATAACTATGAACAATTTTATAATCTATGAAAATTTTTGACTTATTTTGACCATGAGGACACTCTCATGAGTGATGTAGTGCAGTGGATTCGAACTTGCACTTGTAAAGCAACAAACTGTATTATTGATTACGAATTCGATAATAATGGCGACAATACATTGAAACAGCATCCACGCAAAATTGCATCTTGCTTGTTGCAGTGCTGTGCAGGACTCGATGTTTGGGTTAGAGAGAACGCTACCGAAAGGATGCAGTATCCAAACTTCTTGCGTCTCGTTCGCGTGATATAGTGATGGGGGAAGGGGTGCACCTTGCACTCACTTGGAGAAGCGCACTTGCAGCGCTGCGCAGGAGTCTGTGTTGGGGTTGGAGACGACAGTGCCTAGCGGGTGAAGTAGCCAGTCATCGCCCTGTGTTTCGTCAGCTACGTGCGTCCACATGAACAGCGTCAGCCCGTCCGTACGTAGCTGCTCCTTGTAGTCAAATATCATAGTGTTCGCCCACGCCAACTTGTTTATTGAGTCCTGTTAAAAATAAATGTTGTAACAAGTTGTTATTTTTGTTGTTTTGTACCTGTTTATATGATCAATAAAGTATAAAAGTAAAGTTACAGCCTATATACTCCCGGACACAGGCCTCCGCTCATTTCTGAGAGGGTTTTAGGGCAAGGAAGTGTCCACCGCCTGCCCCTACAGGACAAAATCAGCACGTGCACGGGACGGGAACGAAGCGTGGTTTTATGTCAACGGACGGGAGTATAATGCATACCGTGACAGTGACTCGAAACTAACGTGCTAGTGTTGTGAAAGATGTATTTTTCATTTGAAGAATTGGCATTAATTGCTATAGCTTTAGATAATGAAGAAGCTTTGTAGCTTCGTCAAGAGTAAAAGAAGATTTTCTGTCTATCCAACGTATCTGAAAAGAGGACTAGAAGACGAATACCACACTCTCTACTAAGAACATTTGGATGAAAAGACTCAATTTTATATGTATTTTCGTATGACAACATAAATGAAAAATAAAATTTATACTAACCATTTGCAGTGAGTAATAATTCAACTGCAATTTTCCGCCACTGAACATTTTTGTGTTTTGTGTCCAAAATGGTGTGCAAGATTATACAAACTACGGAGCCAACAGAGCGACTGTGCATACGCAGCGAAATTACGGACGGGAGCTGGCGCGCGTCGGACGGGACGGGGTAAACATCGTCGCCGGCGATATTTTTCCCATGCCGTTCATGCCACGTCCCCGTCCCATCCGTGTATCCGTAACTTATGCATTATCACGTACATTTTCTATGAAACTATATTTCCAAAATTTCACGACCCGCTCCGTCCGGAATAAAACACGTTACGTATGAAGCGACCTTTTATGTCTCCGAAATATTTTTTTTTTAATTTCTCCGACAAGCAGATTGCCTCACAATGTTTTCCTTGGTCCCCGTATGTGGTAAAAATAAAGTAATAATGTCCTCCAGACCGAATTCTGGCCACGGCGGCCTGCCTCAACGGAGCCTAGCCATCGGCGCAGGACAGGATTATAGTGCCCAAGTGTATGCGCAAGCACAGGTGCACTCTCTATTCCCTCACTCTCATAATCCGGTGGGACGGCAAAGCGACACGACCGGAGAGAGATCAGGCGCAGGGCCAACGGCTTTACGTGCTTTCCGAGGCACGGGGGTGAGACACCGCCGACTTCCTGACTCCGGGCAACTGCTGAGAATTTTTTGACGGAAAAACTAAATAATTAATTTTTTGGCCCGACCCAGGGTTCGAACCCAGGATCTCATGATCAGCAGTCGCACTACTACAACCACTAGACCAAGAGGCAGTCAGAAAAATAAAGTATAAATAGTAAAGAATAAAAAGTGTATTAAAGTTTAAATAAATAAATTATCATTAACTAATGTTTACTATGTACATCCTCCCCAAAAGCAATTTAAAATCATTTTATTTTAGTTAATTGACAAACCATCATACAATTTAAATTCTGTTTTTGGTCGATTGTTCGATTTTTTATACATTTAAAATTAATTTCAAAGGAAATTAAATAATATCTATAAATAATTTGATTTCTTTACTATTACATACCTTAGAGTCTTTCCCTCTCCGTTTTCCTTTGGTCTTGGATATTTCATATATAACAAAACAAAGCCTTGCCATTCGTGGCATATTATAAACTTTAATAGGAAACGTGAGCTCTTCATCCCATAGCGCCACGCCCTCTTTGGAGACTGGGGCGACTCGCGTCTTCTGAGCTTCACATAACGCCTTGCCTCCATGAAAGATGCCAGCTTGACACACAACCTATGCAAAACATAAAGACTATAAAACACTTCTACACGTATACACCCGTTGCGTTATCGCCATCGATCGGAAGCCGAAAGATGATTTTGACATGTCCCATAGTGACCACTTACGGGACGAAATGAGGGTTGTTGTTTATCTTACGCCACGACCACACGTCGAGTTAATTTTTTTTTATAATTTATTAATTAAACTTAAAAAATAATTTACATCAATACTTGGATTTATGTTTAGACATTCGTATTAGAACCATGCAGAAGAACATAAAGGCTAGAAAGGCAAGAAAAGGTCGGCTGTATTGGGGAAGGATCGTATTTGCACAGAATGCCAGCATTAAATAGCAGCACGATTCTGCTGCTTTATATAGCCAGAAACAAGATCCAAAGACCCTCTTTAAAGGTAAAAAGTTACTAGAAAAGGCGTTCGATCTTAGTGCTCAGGAGTGAAAATGCAACAGCATTTTTAATTTTAATCGAGGATAGATGTAGGACTGTAGGTGTCTGAGCCGCAGTATCCTTTCACTTCATCATCATCATCATCATCTTTATATCCTATCAAAGTGCTCTGCTGAAAATAAGTCTCCCCATAGATTCCTAGCCTCATAAAGATGATTTTCATATTTGCCACACTTGACAGGCGGGTTTGACAGTTGCAGTATTTTTATTATCATCTCCTGGTTTATATAATTTTCACTTATTATAGTATCACTAATTTGGAGTATTTCCTATATTATCACTAATCTTTTAGTACCAGTACCAGATTATCCAGGTGCAAGAAATTAATGATACAGATTTGCATACACTATCCCTGTCACCACTAATCTCAGCAACACAATGAATGGTTCAAGTTGTCTTCGTGAATTGCACCTTCATCTTTAAACAATACCATGGCCTACACATCTTGTAAATGTGCATATGTACGTGAGTGTTTAACAGTACTATAATTTGTTTCATCATCATCATTACAGCCTTGTCAAAAGCCCTCCGTTGAACATAGGCCTCCTCCATAAACTATATTTTAAATGACTCAATATTACTATATTTTAAATGACTCAATATTACTATATTTTAAATGACAAAGGTAGAATTCTTGATCTCGTTCTCTCCAGCACGCTGAAGGTCAGTCGTGTGGGTGCGTGGTGACTCTCTTCTGAGTAACCCCGACTCTCACCACCCTTCTTTAGTTCTAACATTTTCGTGTTGTGATCCGCCAAGTTTATTGCCTAACGCTCAAAGCCAAAAATATAACTTTCATAAGGCGGACTACGATAAAATCGTAACACATTTAAATTCAGTTTCATGGGACCGTATACAATCTTCATCTTCGGTTGATGTCATGGTAAGAGAATTTTATGCTATTTTAACAGACACGATTGCTAAGTACGTTCGATAATGTAAACCCTCCACAAAAAAGTTTCCAGTACGGTACACAAAGGAACTCATACATCTCCTCAAGGAAAAAAAAACTTCATTTGAGGTACCGTAAATACAAAAACCCACTGGACGAACTTGCATTACAAACACTTAGCAAAAGATGCGCCGAATTAATAAGCACCTGTCATAAAAATTATGTCACGGATCTGGAGGGAGCGCTTTCCAAAAATCTAAAGTTATTCTGGACGTTCATAAAAAATAAAAAACGTAATAGCAATGCTTCTCCATGACCTTCGGAGATGACAAAGCAGACAATGGTGACGGTATATGCAATCTCTTTGCCTCGTTTTTCGCATCGGTATATAACACTAGCTCAGTACTGTCTGTGACCACTGTTGACCAAATTTGTACCCCAAATAATACTGCTAATCTGCACTTCTCACAAGATCAAGTACTCAAAACTCTTACTGGTCTAGATCGGGCCAAGGGAGCTGGACCTGACGACATACCCCCCTTTGTTTGTAATCAACTGCCGCGAAGCGTTATCCTTGCCTTTAACAACCATTTTCAATATGCCTTCAATAATGGGTACTTTCCCTTCGGTCTGGAAACAGGCACGTATTGTCCCAATTTATAAATCAGGAGACGCAGGATCCGTCAGAAATCACAGACCAATATCTTATTGTCTGTCTTCACTAAAGTTTTTGAATCATTAGTTTGTCCCGTTTTGGCTTGGCACATAAAACAAATAATCTCACCCCAACAATCGGGCTTTTTAACATCTCGCTCCACAGCTACAAATCTTGTTTCGTTTGTGGACTATGTCTCCAAGTCTCGATTCCCGCTTGTCTGTGGACACCATCTACACGGACTTCAGTAAGGCGTTTGACATTGTAGATCATAACATCTTATTTCACAAACTCTCAATTTTGGGCATCACTGGCAATCTTCTCGAATGGTTCTCTTCATACCTCAGGCAGAGAAAATCGAGAGTTGTGGTAAATGGTTACTCCTCAGAACCATTTCTACCTACGTCTGGTATTCCTCAGGGTTCCCATCTCGGTCCGATCCTTTTCAATATTTTTATAAATGACCTAGCGTCTGTGTTTAAACACGCGACCTGCTTTATGTACGCAGATGACATGAAATTGTCCTTGAAAATCAAAGACCACAGTGACTCACTCCTATTGCAAGAGGATTTGGACCAGATGTCTTTGTGGTGCATTAAGAACAGACTATTTTTGAACCTCGATAAATGTAAAATTATAAGATTCTCAAGGTGTGTAAATGTTCCGACACCTATGTATAATATTGATGGTCATCCTTTGGTAGAAGTGGACTCTGTTCGATATCTGGGTGTGATTCTGGACAAACAGTTGCGGTTTCATAAGCACGTTGATGGAATTGTTACAAGGGGTCTTCAAATGTTGGGGTTCGTGTTGCGTAATTCTAAAGAATTTAAGAGGACCTCTACAAAAATATCCTTGTACAAGTCTTTAGTCCGTTCCAGCCTCGAATACTGTAGTCATGTTTTCCAGAAGCGTTTTTTGTGGTATCTTTCGTACCAAACTTACAAAATAAAGGATCTACCCTCATACGAAGACCGACTGACGTATTTTAAATTAAGTAGCCTGCAACAGCGGAGGCTTTTGCTGGATTTCATGTTGCTACACAAAATCGTCAATGGAGCCGTAGACTGTCCATACCTACTAAGTGCAATAAATTTCAAGGTACCTTTTAAGCTAGTGTGTGTCAGCCGATACTCCCCTTTTCAGTTGAAGGCAGTAAAACTAATTTGGGTCACCACGCCACCATACACAGGTTACAGAGGCAATATAACCAGCTCTGCAATACACGTGACGTTGATATTTTTGCTGATAAGCCTCAAAAATTCAAACGAAAAATTATGCAGTCCTTTACTTTTAACTAACATTTAGACCTAGTTTTAAGTTTATAGTTGTAAGTTTTAAAAAACATATTCGTTGTCCACATTGCATGCCGTGGCAACCTTTAATTAAGATGACACTTAGATATAAACCTTCCTGTAATTTGTAGTATTTACATTGTGTTCGTATACTTCTTGTTGGTTGTCCTAAATAAATCAAAAAATCAAAAAAAAAATTGCCAAAAATATGATCCTAAACCACCCGCACCTATCAACTAATGAATGTTTACAACAGGTCATCACTTCATCAAGTGGGGGATCGGCCAACACTGCACTAGGCAGTCTGCGGCTACTAATCAAGAACCTTACTTCCCCAACGGTTGTCGGTTGTTCGAGCTATATGGCTGACCTGTTGCAACTTCAGCCTACTAATCTGCTGGGCAATGACAGTTATTCTTGTTACGGATTTTATCACACAGAGCAACTTCAAGTACCATCGCTTGCTGAGTGCTTCCTCATACGGGCAGCAGTAGAAGACCATGTTTCGGTTCTGTAAGTCATCACTAACTACATGCACTTGTTGCACATTTTTGTTTCAAGGTTCTGAGGTACATAGGACAAATCGCTACTATTGGTAGACGTCGATAGAGGTTTTTTTAATATAGGTCAGAACTCTAGATATCAACAAACCTCCACAAGTCGTCCGGGATCCACGTTCAGTCCACCCACACTCTGCACCATGCAAGTATAGTTTTTGTCTATATTCCAGGAAGATTCATGGTTGTTCTTCTTTTTACGTATTGTGTTAGAGTAATCTGGAGGCAGTGGCCTCCTTTCCACAGGGTTATCACAGCCGACTGAAAAGGCATTAAATATTATTATATACATAATTATATATATATGTTATTGATTTGATTTGAAAATATTATAAAAAACAAATGAATTGAAATGAGATACTCATTTCTAAACACAAAAAGAAATCTTTGGAATTAAACAAAAGAATACATTATTTCTATCGGAAAAGGAACTGCTCACGTGTTAATTTGTCCGTGCTCACGGTCATGACCTGCGGCACGCCATCTTTCGCGAGCATCTCTTGTATATATAGGAACTGAATGAGTGGCTCCTTCCCAAATAGGTACTCCTCGCGGCCGCAAACCTTCAGTACATAGTTGCGAGGGTCTTCGCCCCTCATGTTAAGGGAATTCACCTTCTTCTTTAATATCATGTCTATATGCTGTTGAGGTGTACGTGATACTGGCACATTTGAGGTAAACGAGAACTGTGGGCAAAATAAAGTTAATGTAGTTACTATATAGTAGGATTTTTTACTGTTATCGTGGAAGTGATTAAAATTAAATAAATTGCATAAGAACACGCTTAGCCAATACGCTACGGAGCGGAGTTCAATTTATTTGAACATTACTGTATTATCTGTTAAAAATTAACTATATTAACGTGTAACAGTATTATTGACATATCAAGGATATACATAGTAGAGACAGAGTAACCATGAAATGATAAGAAAAAAGTTTTTTTTTAATACATGACCGAAAGTTTGTATGTCGACCCCCGATGTGTATGTTGTATGTAATGAGGCAATGCATCTTTGTCATAGGCATGACATGACAACGTTTCTGAATTTTGATTCTCGATCGAGAACAGATGTAGGTGTCTATGGGCCACAGCGTACACTTACCATCAGGTGATGTGTGTGTGCTCGTTTGACACCCTATATTTTATATTTATATAGAGTAATGTAGAGAAAAAGACGAAAGATTAATCCGCTGCTGGATATCAGTCTCTTCGAGCTGCAGCAGCTCAACGGCTAGAGAGCTAAACTTAGTCCAATACCAATAGCTATGGTAACTCTATTCCCTATCACCAGTCTATAAGATTGGGGTTCGACATTTTTTAATGGATTTACTATAATTTAGGTTAGCATTAAAAAAAATAGTTAATATAATATTAAGTCTACAAAGCTTTATGTGGTAGAGCCATGCTGCAGCTATATTAATTGTAGCACGAATGAGTCGGCTCAATCGGGGAAGGACCACGCTCTCACAGAATACCAGCGTCAAATAGCAGCTTAATGCTGCTGTGTTTTGGTATGGTGAGCAGTGTAGAGAACCGGAGATCCTTTTTACTGGAAAAGAGGCATTCCATCTTAGTCCTCAAGGCTGACAACGCATCTGCATTTTGATTCGCAAACGAGGATAGATGTAGATGTCTATGGGCCACAGCAACCACTTACCATCAGGTGGACTGTGTGCTCGCTTTCCACCCTTTTCCTATAAAAAAAAGGAATCGAGGAAGTGAAATGTTTAATGAGCGTTTATCTTTTTGAAAATGTCAAATTGGAAGGTTCAACTACATAAATAGTTCAACCTTCCAATGAACACTTAGACATTTCATTTGTAGGAAGACGATTCGGCCGAATTAGAACATATGTAATATAATATCCAATCTCAACAGAGAATAGCCATCTCTGCAGGACAGAATTATAGAGCCAGTGTGTACGCGCAAGCAGATGGACTCTAAATTCCATCGCTCTCATAGACCGAAGAGAGATCATGCGCAGGAACAACGCATTTACGTACTTTCCGAAGCACACGTGTGAAATACCGCCAACTTCCTGATTGTTGGCTGCTATTAAGAATTCTTTCACATATAAACTTAATAACCTATTTTGTGTTAGGCTCAACCCGAGATTCGAATCCAGGATCTCATGATTGGCAGCCGCGTTTACTCCCTCTGGACTGATTTTAAAGATATTCTGTATTATGAGTAATATTTTTTGCAAAAATCCATATTTTTGACATAATATTAAGTAATACGATATTTTACTAAATATAAGTAAATAAACGATTAAATAAAATATAAACATAAATATAAATAAAATTGAAATGTCTGTCTGTATAAAATATACCCATCCCAAAAATTTTAAGCTTTTTTTGGAAAAGCGATAAATTGATAAAATAAATAGTCTATGATTATCTTAACAACGCCACTTTAGTGAATTCTATCCAGGTGAAGTCAGGGGAGGGTCGCTAGTCTTTCGTAAAAGTAATCAGCAATCAACATAATATTATAACATTTCGATTCAATTAAATCCCATAGCTCTTGGTAGTGAGTAATTTCTTTGACATCTGCACAACTTCTCGGTAGAGAATAATGGTGTTATGTGGTCCAACGGGAGTAACGAGACTTCATATTATGAGGAATAAAAGTTAAGTAGAGAATATGTTAAAATTACAAATAATACTATATATGTAACCTATGTTATTAGGAAAGAAAAACAAACAAAACATATTGACAATTTAAATCACGTCAAAAGAAAGTGTCAATATTAAAAACAAAATAGTAAAATTAAATACATATATGTATTAGATTTACTATAAACGGAAATGCTGAAATCCCGTTTTGACTTAAGCCAAAGGGATACAGGCGAGGAAGTAGAAGATGAAGAGTCTAAGAGTGAACACAGCAAAGAAAACGATCTTCCTATATCGGAAAGAAGGCTCAACAGATCCGAAGTCAGCGTTCGTCTCAGCCATCTTGGGAAAACGGCAGATGGCGATGGGTACTATAAAAATAAAGCTACAGCCTCCCTCTGCTGCTGGTCACAGGTCTCCTTTTATTACTGAGAGGTTTATGGAACAATTAGGCCACCGATAGAAGCTAGTATAAAATAAATCATTCAAATATCTATAAAATAACTAGCTAGTCCTATAAAAAATCCTTAATTCGCAATAAAAAACATTGAGGGTCACTTTTTATATAATAAGGGTGACAAACGAGCACACAGTCCACCTGATGGGAAGCGGATGCTGTGGCCCATAGACATCTACATTTATCCTCGATTAATAATCAAAATGCAGATGGATTGCCACCCCTAAGGACTAAGATGGAATGCCTCGTTTCCAGTAAAAAAGGGTCTCCGGATCTCTACACTCACCATGGGAAACACAGCAGTATTAAGCTGCTATTTTACGCTGGTATTCTGTAATAGTGTGGTTCTACCCCTGTCGAGCCGACTCATTTGTGCTACGACCATAATATAGCTGCGTGTTATTGTGATATTTCTCGACGGATGATCAGCAGTGGATTTATGATATGATGTAATGATGATTATTGTAGAGATGAATCGCATAAATGAATTGAAATAATCATGCAATAGCTCATATTTAAGAATAATTTTTATGGCAATTACTTTATATAGATTTTTATGAAAAATACAATATTTCACTAACAATCATTATTCCTTGTATATCATTTGTGTATTACTCTGCTGTTGTTGAAAATAAGAGTTATTTCAACTCCAAATCGAAGCAAATATTTTAGTAACACAATATAAAATATTGTTTTTCTATAACAGTTTCGAAGTAGAACACAACAGTGTGACTTTCACAGTCAATTTAAAAAAATGAAGTGCTTTACAGCCCGTAATTATACTGGCTTTGTTACCCCTGAAAACCATTAGATCGAAATGAGCTTCATTTATTTGCAATTGTTAGAACAGTATCATTAAAAATAATCGGAATTTTTAACTCTTTGAATAATATTTATGGTTTGCTTTCAGTTATACATATCTTAAAGCAACATGTACGGGCATGCATTTGACTGACATAAATGCAATAGTTAGTTTCAAGCACTTGCAATTTGTCGACGTCTCTGACAATTTCTTAACCACAGAGGCGTTACAGGTCGTAACAAAACTACCGTTTCTGGTTCTAATACACGCCGACAAAAATCGACTTGATTCAGCTTCATTAAAAAAGACAAAATATCTACAAGTTATTATAATGAACTATAATAATATAACGTCCGTGAATGACGTATATCAACCGGAATTAAGTACCTTGGAAGTTGGTTACAATAAAGTCGAAAATATTGCTTTTAAGAATAGAATGCCCACACTTAAATGTCTAGATTTCCGTTATAATCTAATTTCAAATATATCAGACATCAATTTCCCTAACTTGGATAGTTTATATTTAGAGGGGAATAAGATAAAGAGTCTTGTAGGACTTGAGAAACTGATAAATCTGCGAATATTACACGTGCGAAATAACCCAATAGTATCACTAAATGGTTTCGATTCTGGTCTTACTAAACTAGCGTATATTAACCTACGAAACTGCAAGGTGGGAACATTAAAACAAATTAAAAAACTGCAGGTAAGAATTTATGTTACTTTTAGCCATACTCCAGCTGCTTACGCTGCTTCACATATTTTTAAAATAATATGTGTGACAAACTAAAGGTATTAATAAAAGATAGAGCTTTAAGCCCTATTTGAATTCATTTTTCTCTAAACACTTGATATGACGAGTAAAACGGCAACACTGAATTCTTTCTTTTACACACAATAATATTTTCCATGTACTGACATGAATATGAACTATATACCTCATATCGTTCCCTACGTCTCGTAAAAGGCGACAGTAGGAAACAAACCATGAGATATGCAGCAGCGTCTTTCTTATAACAACTAAATAATAAACTGCGGCTGGCAATCTGTCTGCTAAGTATGGTAACTATAACAAATATCCCCTATGAAGAAATCTATGGGGGAGGCCTATACAATGTGTTAATTTTACACTTGATCAAACGAAATGTGCGGATACTAGATAAAAAATTATCGGTAAAAAACCGAAAAAAATTTTTTTGTGTAAACTATTTAAAAAATAAAAGCATTTTATTTTTTTGGTAAAAATCCCATCCTTTTTAAAATTATTTTCTCTTTAAGGGAACGGTGTATTTTTTTTTCAAAGTAGTTTTATTTGAAAGTTATAAAAATTAACTACCAATAAAAATTAAAAAAAACCTACGATATCAAACAGGAAATTTGTCAAAATTTTATAAGATAATTTTTTTTGTTAAAAAAACACTTTTCTTTTTAATTTTTGGTCTGTAACTTCAAAACTAGTACGTTGAGATAACCTTTTTAGCATGTTTTATTTAACTACCATAGCTTATTGTACAAGTTCTCCAAAATAACATGCGTTCTATCTCTTTTCGTTTTTAAAATAATAATCATCAAAGAATGCCAACGCTATGTTGATTTGGGCTTATGCGCCGCACCTGCCTCTAATTTGAACACCCCTGGTCGAACAATAGCAGGTAAAGATAAAAAGAGATAGATCAAGGAAAGGCGAAACAAGTGAGTGAGAGAGTGAATTGTCGTTTGAATGAGATTTGGGTCTCGTTCTCGTAAGGCAGCGCTTTAGCTATTTTAAACAGTTCATCTTGTAATTGTAACGTTACCTAATTTGCACG